CAGCTTCTGATTGGCTGCAAGAAGCCCCGTCAGACGTTCAGGTTCCAAAAGAATGTTCGGAAACCGGAACAGTCACTTCTGGGTTTGCGGCATTTGGGAGCCAAAACGGATGAGTACCAAGGTGTTCAGGATCCAAGGTACAACTGTATTTTATGACAAAGTACAGCATACATATGCATTCTGTGTGAACACGGATTAAACACCCAGCACTGGCAGTGAATGCACAGCCAAGGACTTGCAAAGAGTTCTACCATGACCCTGGAGCTACCTACTTCCTGGACTGCCCACTCCAGAGACATCACGTGAGACTGAGCTCTGCCGCCATTCAGACCATTCCTCTTGAGCAGGTGTCTGACTGCTGAAAACACTGCCCTTTCGATGACTGTTGGGATTGGTTATACATGTTGTGGTTTGGGTGGTTTGCTATGTTTCCTACCCACTCACTCCCAGCAATAAATTCCATGTCTTCAATTCCTTTTCTATTATCCCCAACTCATTAACATTGCAGTCCTATGCTTTTCTTTTCAAAAGTGATGGTTTGCAATAGAGCTTACTCCGAGGTAAGCGTGTGTCTGCCTAAGCAAGCATTCATCTGTGTGTCTACTCAGAAGTAAGTCCCATCAGTGTCTTCATTACGTAGGATGCCATTCTAACCATGTCCCATTGAATCCATTGGGCATTTCTGTCAGATAAGCGGGATTAGGGTACTTCCGCACTTAATTTTTAAAAAAATAATAATGTGGGATTTCCCACTCTTTGGACCACACCAGACACCAGTCATGCTTTGTGCTTGTGATGCTATCAGGGCAGTTATTGTGCTTTCAATACCATTTGTGCCTTCTGGGAGAAGGGAACATTCCAAGTTGATTCCAAGTCAGTGGTGGCTGGCGCCCTGGTAGGGCAGAAGGCAGGGAGGCGAACAGTAGGGGGAGCCAGAGCCAATGACAGGCGGAGCCAACTCATTCGAGTTCCATCTCTATCCTCCTCCCTGCTGAGTTCCACAGGGACTGAGGAGGAGGAAGCCCCTGCCCTCAGGGTTGGCTGTGAGTAGAAAAGGAGGCAGGTGGAAGCTGGCTGAAGGCAGACTGAGGTTGGTGGGGCAATGCAGCAAATATTGCTAATTGCTCTACGGTTCTGTGAAATGACTGGTTGCCATTCGGATGCAAAAGCAAGCAAGGACCCCTTTAAGCCTTGTGCAGAAGAGAGAATTTGCAGCAAGTTAAGTCTTCTGCGACATGTGGCTCTCGCTGAAGCGCCCTCTACTGCACGAGCACTCAAAGCGCAGGAGCCCTGCCCTCTTTTTCACCTGGCCATGCGAAGCCCACCTGTGGGCCAGCGCTCATCCCTATGGGGGTCGGATAGGACCTGAGAGCAGTTGTGAGCTGGGTCAGCCACCCGAACCATGAATCGAGGTAACCCAAACTCTGCTTCGAGAAACGCGGGATTCTGCCACCGTTATAAATTATGCAGCTCAAGCACACATTTTGCCTTGCATAATTCATTCTGCTTCTCCTGGTCTGGAGAACTCGAGAGGCCTGCTGGATCAGACCAAAGGTTCGTCTCGCCCAGCATCCTGCTTTCCACAGTGCCCAAGCAGATGCTTCTGTGAGGCTCATAGGCAGGGCATGAAGACCACACACAATCTGAGCCACAGTGACTGGTATTCAAAAGTAGACTGTCTTAACCTAAACCTGGAAGTTCTGCATGGTGAATAGCTGCCAATTGCCTTATGCTGCATGAATTGGCCTAATCCCCGTGAAAGGAGTGTAAACCACTGGTCCTCGTCCCTATTTCTTGTGGTTTTGAGTCCCACAAATGATGTTCGCATAGTGCTAATAATGTGATTTCCTATTGTCAGTCCTCTTCCTCCTCCAGTGCAATAGAATTGGCAAGCTGGCAGAACTTTCCTTGTAAGTACCCGAAAAGATACTCACAGCACCCACTGGTTTCACCTGCTATGGCTTTGACTGGTTTATTTATTTATTTTTAAAAGCAGGTGTTCCTAAGTCAACCATTGAGAGTCTGTGACTGGAGTTGTTATTTTTAAAATCCCCGTTGCAAAAGCAAACAGGTGTGCTGAAGGATTGCGTGGGTGAGCCCCTGGCAGATATCTGGCGGAATTCAGTGAACTGCCCTTGGAGCTCACACCTGAGTAATGAATGAATGGTTTCTGAGATCATTCAGAAAATTAGTTGTGACCAGGGAACCACAACCCTCCTAGAGGCTCTTGTGCCTTTGACAGCTGTGTGTTTAGCTGTGTGTTTGACAGCTGTGTTTGACCTTAGCAGTCAAAGTTGCACCTGTTGAATATTGTTGTTGTTGTTATCGTTTTATTTATACCCCGCCCATCTGACTGGATTGCCCCAGCCACTCTGGGTGGCTTCCTGCATATATGAAAACATAACAAAACTTTAAACTTTTTTTTTTAAGCTTTCTATCTAGGGCTGCCTTCAGGTGTCTTTCTAAATGTTGTACAGTTACTTATCTCCTTGGCTTGGGGGTCCTCCATACCCTCCAACGTTTCTCTGATGAAAATAGGGGCATCCTAAGGAATAGTGGGGACGCGGGTGGCGCTGTGGGTTAAACCACAGAGCCTAGGACTTGCCGATCAGAAGGTCGGCGGTTCAAATCCCCGTGACAGGGTGAGCTCCCGTTGCTCGGTCCCTGCTCCTGCCAACCTAGCAGTTCAAAAGCACGTCAAAGTGCAAGTAAATAAATAGGTACTGCTCCGGCGGGGAAGTAAACGCCGTTTCCGTGCGCTGCTCTGGTTCGCCAGAAGTGGCTTAGTCATGCTGGCCACATGACCCCAAAGCTGTATGCCGGCTCCCTTGGCCAATAAAGCGAGATGAGCGCCGCAACCCCAGAGTCGGCCACAACTAGACCTAATGGTCAGGGGTCCCTTTACCTTTAAGGAATAGCGGCATGTTCCAGGATTGAATCAGAAACGGGAACGGCTTCTTTAAATCTGGGACTGTCCCTGGAGAACAGGGACACCTGGAGAGTCTGTGTGTCATCCTCTGGACTGGATGATGGGAAAAGGGCAGAGCAGGTGAGGGGGCTGGCCGAGGGCCGACTAAGGTGGGTGAGGCGGTGTGCCCCACTTGCTCAAACGAACCAGCCACCACTGTCACTGAGCCACGTGTATCTGTTTCTGTCAAAGGCTGGCTCCCGTAGTGCTCTGCCATGGCGACGAAGCCCAGCTTGGTTGGCGGAAGTCAGAGCCCCCCCCCACTCCCCACTCCCACTCCCCCCAATGCATCCTGAGCCTTCCTGACATATGGCTGTAGCTGCCCCTCTTCACTCATTTAGATTTCTTCTTCTCAGAGTTGCTGTTGCATTAACATTTGCCTTTAGGCACCTCGGAGTTCAGATCGGCGGGCACCATAAGGCCTCCTTTTATTTATTTATTTTGCCACCTCAAACCGCCCCCCCCCCCAATTGCACTACATGCACACACTGCAAGAGACATCTTGCAAAGGAAAGAAAGGGAGGGGGGAATGGAGGAGAAGAGAGTAAGACACTTGCAGTGCTCATCCTAAGCATGTCAGGGACGACCCTCATGGTCCCTTCCGACTCTGCAATTCTGTGGTTCTGTGTCTACTCAGAAGCAAGGCCCACTGAGATCCATGAGACTTCTTCCTAGGTACAATGTGCTTGTAGGATCGCAGCCTTGGTGTGACCATGAAAACTGTGTCCAGAAGCAGCTGAATCTGGGTTTAGATCGGAGGGCTGAAAATCACCATCATCACCCCCTCCAGATTGCGGGAGAGGATTCTCTCACCTCGTTTGCGTGGATGCCAGATGAATGGGTTGCACACAATGGTAATGGCAGCTCCGGTCCCTTTGGATGCTGAGCAGCTGTGCCTTTTAGAAACTATTCTGCTCTACCCACTGGCTGCTGCTGCTGCTTTCATCTTGTTTTGCACGCCTTGCTTTTGTCGAGCAATGGAAAGTTTTGGGGTTGAGGGGGAAAGGTGTTTTCTTACCTGGTCAGTTACCTTGGGAGAAGAAAATACCAGGGATTAAACGGCATTTTCATGCCATCTGTTTATGTACAAATATGCAGGCTGCACATAAGGAAGCAGGGAAGCGTGCAGGCAGACACGGCTAATCTTCAGGTACCATTCGTTTCCCCCTAAAAGCAAACACCATGCCCTCAGAGTAATGGCTCCTTCCTGCCAGCCAGCTGCAGCGTGAATGCATATATACACACACACACACACATAGGGGGGCGGGACTTCTGTCTCCTTTGCTGGCTGCATTCCAACTGCCCAGGTTGTTTCTCCTCTCAGCGCCCACCTCACCTGGAGAGATCTGGGCAATAGCTAGTAGCCACCAGCCACCAATGCTCATTAAGGAAATGCAAAAACCTTAGAGGAGGGGATATTTTTGCATAGCGAATTTGTTTTGCTTCACCTTTTACAAAGAGATTTCAGAGCAACCATTCCAGGATCAGATTTCTTTGGGAGAGAGAAGACCCAATGATCATTTCTCCACAATCCATTTACTGTGCAAAGAATTGGATTTTTTTCTACAGGCCTTCTGACGATGCTCTGCTTCTGTTGCAGACATAGCACATTTCGCACAAACCAAAGTAATTTGTGGCTGGGGGGTGGGGAGGTTATTTACCCACCCCAAGAGACAGGATATTTATTGCTGTTGTGATTGTCATGTGGACTGTGGTTCTGGGTCATGGGCAGCTATTATATATTGTAGTTGTAATTAATTAAATACTTCAATACTCCTGCCTTTCTTCAATACTCCTACCGTTCAAGACAGCACCAGTCCTATCCTTCTGCTTAACTTCAGCAAGGCAGCTGAATCATGTGACTCAGAGGCCACACCCAATAATTTTGTGATGTAACATATGATGATCACAGGGCCAATCCTGCCATTGGGTAAAGTGAGACCAACCACCTCAGGTGGCAAATTTGAGGGTAGCGGTAAAGGGCAGAGAGTTGTCCACAATCTGGTTTCTTTACTTCACTGGGAGTTGCTATTTGGACACCAAGAAAATATAAAGAAATAAATCTTTAGGAGGGGGTAAACCAAGGCATGTTTGTCTCCCCTACTTCAGTAAAGGGATGCTCTTGCTTCCCAATCCTTTGATTGGGTCTTCTTAGTTATTGACCCCTGCGAATTGCCCCAAATCCTATAGTAAATTAGAATGCTGAATGACTAGTCCCCAGATGCAATTGGATCTGCCCTTTCAAAGATTATAACGAACTAGCATAGCAAAATATGTCTTTGTTCCCCTTTCTTTCCTTTACTTCTAATAATGTAACATACATATATTTGGGTATGATATAAAGATGCAAGGGAAATATTGGATATGTTTCTGTAATCCATCTCTTATCTAGACTACAGTTGCCTCTTCAGTGCATCCATTGAAAAGGAGGGCAGAAGACTCTGACTGAGAGGACAAGAGGTTTGTTGAAGTACAACTAAGTTTTTTAAAGCTATCTTGAATGTGAATGCGGCACACAGTGCAAGATGCTTAAGATAAAATGTACATTATTTAGGTATTAAAGTAATAATAATAATCATAATAATAATAGCAGCTACTTTCTAGATAAAGAGGTGTCAGAACTCCCCAGAACACCCCTTGTTCTTTTATAATGGCAACGGTGCTCACCTGAGAGGTGCCGGAACTGAGCACCAGCGAATTCCAGCTGAAAAAAGCCCTGGAAATAATTATTTAACAGAGAGAAGAGCAGTGCCTCTTGCTGGGGTAGGGATTTTATGGTCCTGGAATTGAAGGGGGGTGGGAAACAAAAGCTAGCATCCTGTTCAAGAAAGGATGCCAGTCTGTTTTCTCTGTTGTCTCTCCTTGTACGGAAGAATGGAGGGCACAAGGTCAAGTAAAGGTCAAAGGAGGAGCATTGATGAGGAGGAAGATAGAAGTTCAAATGTGCATCAAAAAGGGGTGGAGGGGGAGAATTGATGATAACGCAACATCACAATCTGTCGGCAAATGAGGAATGAAAATAATGCTGCGGAACGAGCGCGCGCACACACACACACAGCACAAGGCACATACCAGGGTTTTTTAATTAAAAAAACTTTTTAAAAAGAACCTTTGGAAGGGTGCAAAACAGCAGCAGTGAAGCAGTTAAACTGAGAGGCTTACACATAGCACACAAAGAGAGATGGAGGGGAGCACACAGCAAGGAGGTGGGGAGGAGGAGGAGGAGGTGGGGAGAGAAGAGAGAAAGTTGGTCCCAATCCAAAGAGTTAATGTTGCGCACCATGATCGATTAGATGTCAGATGTGATTTCGAACCAATACAAGATGAATAGCATAATTTTCCTGCGCCCATTTTCCGACAGAATTAAGAATCCATTAGCTAACACAATTTTTTTGGCAACTTTAATAAAAAAGCGCCAATAGACATTTGCGGCAAATGCTCCCTGAGGTACCTTTGAAAGATGTGAATAACCTTTTATTCTCTCTCTCTCTCTCTCCTCCCCCCCCCCCCCCGTCTTTTTCTCTCCTCCCTCCTCTTCCCTAATCTTTTTGTAACTGCTTTCTCTAAGAAATTGCCTGGTAGGGTTCTTCTGCCTTGTCCTCGTCCCCCCCCCAGCACCTCACCAGTTGTGTTTATTTGAATAATTGGGGTGGGTGTCAGAGAACCTTCCCTCTTGTAACCACCAAGCATTCTTCACTGAACAATACTTCTAAAAATGGGGTAGGGCGGGCAAGAAGCAGTTTGTGATTTTGGGGTGCGTGGAGGGAGGGGAAGGAAGGAGAAGAATCCGCCAAAAGAGATTCTCCAAGGTTGCTTGGAAGATGAAGCTTCCCAAAGAGGAAATCTCCAACCGCAACACAATGATAACAGATTGAGACCTCCCAGGCCTTCTGAAAATTCATACAACCTCCCTGTCTACTCAGCAATTTGCCCTCGAGGAGTCGGCCGTCTGAGTGGAAGGAGGCCAGCTTTGTGAAATTGGATTCGTCAGGATTTTGCTTCATTTTTTCCTACAGGTTTGATGTCCATTAGAGCGCCCAGAATAAGCACTGACTTGATATGCCCATGTCGAGCTTCCGTACATGCCATTGTTTGTGCCACACGAGTGCCAGATTCACAGTTTTGTGGAGCTGAGGATGAGATATTCTCAGTGGACTCTCTCCAAATCCTCTCCTGCTTTTTCTGACCTCCCTGAGCATTCAGAGATGGAGAGATGAGCCCTTTGACCTACCTTGCCATCCAATGGAGCCAGCTCTGGGTCTGAAAAATGCAGTATGAAGTAATCGTAAGGAAAAGAGGGTTTCAAAGCATGTGCAGAGTGCATTTCCCACAGACCTAATTAACCCTCTGTTAGGAAGAAGGACTCCCCTGTCAATGACTTTCAGCTTGGCATAAGCCCCAGCACTGAAAAGCTTCTGGGCTTGAACCTTGGTCATTTGGGGCTGCATTTGAGGAATGAGGGATTTATGCAGTGGAGGGCCAGAAAATAATCAGGATCACCTAATCATATCTGGTAGCAGTCAAAGGCCTCTTGTATGGGTGAGTACATTAGCCAGCCTCATTTTCCTGTGTGTGTATAGAGCCCAGAAATACAAGAAAATGTGGTTTGAAACCAAGGATCATAAAAAGATAGCTTGCTCTCCCCCCCCCCCAATTTGTTGTCGGTATTGAATGACTGGCTTTAGGGATAGAACGGAGCTGAATTTTTGCAGACGCAAATTTCAAGCGAGTTCTTCCTTCTAGCATTTGCCTACAAAAACCTGAACGGATATCCTTCTAATTTGGCTTTTTTTAGGCTTCATTTTGTTTTGTTTCTGCTAAGCTGCCAGTACCATACAACAGAGGCAGCTGTGTGATGGCTAATGGTGTGTGCAGAGAACTCTGCATACATTGTGTTCTGCACACTATCGCCAGCAGGGCTCCTTCCTGGCCTTTTTTGGGGGGGGGGCAGGTGGTGTTCAAATTCAATACGCATAAAATTCCAAGGGCACTCTGGTCTGGCACAACGTCACCACCTCTCAGCTCACAAACAGGGACTTCCGTGTCAGAGCTGGTTGTCTGAAAGAGGCCCTGCTCTTGAGGTTGTGTCAGGCGCAAGGAGATGTCAGCAAAGAGTCCTGTCCACTGGGCACCCAATTCTCTGCTTCCTATGCAACTGGAGCCACTGACCTAGAAATGCAGGCAGCCAAGTCAAGAGCATTAAAACCAAAGCCCACAATCCTCTTGGCCCATGGCATCAGGTGATTTCAGGGAGCCAATCCCATGCCACTGCTGACTATAAAGCTATAAGACCTTCTGTGTACCTACAGCCTAGGCCGCCATATTGACTGCCTTAACCCAACGCCAGCTACTTCCCTCTCAATACTTGCTGCATGCCTCTCAGCCTAAACCTACCTCACAGGGTTGTTGTGGGGATTAAATGGGGGCAGGGGGAACCATGCAGTCAACCTTGAGCTCCTTTGGAAGACAAACGGTGGGGTGTAAATGCAACAGGCGGATAAATAAAATCTCTAGCTGTGGGGCTGGCCTTTGCCTTCAATCAGACCGAGGCTCCAGGGCGATTCAGCAAGTCAAAAAGAGTCTAGACTTTGACCCTTTATATATATATATATATATATATATGCTTTCGTAGATTTTCACGGGTACAGGAATGCAGGTTTTGGTGTCCTCGGGTGTCTTCCCGTGTAAAAGTTGGGGTGTCTAGGCGACGTTTCGACGAGGTCTCACTCGTCATCTTCAGGCTGGTGCTTTCGGCTTCTTGTTACTGGAACAGAGCAGGATCTCAGTGTTTGAGTTCCTAATAAATACTGTTGAGGAGGTGTGGTGTATAGCCTCCAATGTTCTGGGCAGAGAGGGAGTTCCCAGGCTAGTGTGCCTTTTCTTCTTTTACCAACCACCTCAGTGGCAAATTTGAGGGTAGCAGTAAAGGGCAGAGAGTTGTCCACAATCTGGTTTCTAATTATAATCTTTACTTCACTGGGAGTTGCTATTTGGACACCAAGAAAATAGAAAGAAATAAATCTTGTGCAGGGGGTAAACCAAGGCATGTTTGTCTCCCCTACCTCAGTAAAGGGATGCTCTGCTTCCCAATCCATTGATTGGGTCTTCTTAGTTATTGACCCCTGAGAATTGCCCCAAATCCTATAGTAAATTAGAATGCTGTAATGACTAGTCCCCAGATGCAATTGGATCTGCCCTTTCAAAGATTATAACAAACTAGCATAGCAAAATATGTCTTTGTTCCCCTTTCTTTCCTTTACTTCTAATAATGTAACATACATATATTTGGGTATGTATAAAGATGCAAGGGAAATATTTGGATATGTTTCCGTAATCCATCTCTTACCTAGACTACAGTTGCCTCTTCAGTGCATCCATTGAAAAGGAGGCGGAAGACTCTGACTGAGAGGACAAGAGGTTTGTTGAAGTACAACTAAGTTTTTTAAAGCTATCTTGAATGTGAATGCGGCACACAGTGCAAGATGCTTAAGATAAAATGTACATTATTTAGGTATTAAAGTAATAAAATATCATAATAATAATAGCAGCTACTTTCTAGATAAAGAGGTGCCAGAATCCCCCAGAACACCCCTTGTTCTTTTATAATGGCAACGGTGCTCACCTGAGAGGTGCGGAACTGAGCACTCAGCGAATTCCAGCTGAAAAAAGCCCTGGAAATAATTATTTAACAGAGAGAAGAGCAGTGCCTCTTGCTGGGTAAGGGATTTATGGTCCTGGAATTGAAGGGGGGTGGGAACAAAAGCTAGCATCCTGTTCAAGAAAGGATGCCAGTCTGTTTTCTCTGTTGTCTCTCCTTGTACGGAAGAATGGAGGGCACAAGGTCAAGTAAAGGTCAAAGGAGGAGCATTGATGAGGAGGAAGATAGAAGTTCAAATGTGCATCAAAAAGGGGTGAGGGGGAGAATTGATGATAACGCAACATCACAATCTGTCGGCAAATGAGGAATGAAAATAATGCTGCGGAACGAGCGCGCGCACACACACACACAGCACAAGGCACATACCAGGGTTTTTTAATTAAAAAACTTTTTAAAAAGAACCTTTGGAAGGGTGCAAAACAGCAGCAGTGAAGCAGTTAAACTGAGAGGCTTACACATAGCACACAAAGAGAGATGGAGGGGAGCACACAGCAAGGAGGTGGGGAGGAGGAGGAGGAGTGGGGAGAGAAGAGAGAAAGTTGGTCCCAATCCAAAGAGTTAATGTTGCGCACCATGATCGATTAGATGTCAGATGTGATTTCGAACCAATACAAGATGAATAGCATAATTTTCCTGCGCCCATTTTCCGACAGAATTAAGAATCCATTAGCTTACGACAGTTACTTATCTCCTTGGCTTGGGGGTCCTCCATACCCTCCAACGTTTCTCTGATGAAAATAGGGGCATCCTAAGGAATAGTGGGGACGCGGGTGGCGCTGTGGGTTAAACCACAGAGCCTAGGACTTGCCGATCAGAAGGTCGGCGGTTCAAATCCCCGTGACAGGGTGAGCTCCCGTTGCTCGGTCCCTGCTCCTGCCAACCTAGCAGTTCAAAAGCACGTCAAAGTGCAAGTAAATAAATAGGTACTGCTCCGGCGGGGAAGTAAACGCCGTTTCCGTGCGCTGCTCTGGTTCGCCAGAAGTGGCTTAGTCATGCTGGCCACATGACCCCAAAGCTGTATGCCGGCTCCCTTGGCCAATAAAGCGAGATGAGCGCCGCAACCCCAGAGTCGGCCACAACTAGACCTAATGGTCAGGGGTCCCTTTACCTTTAAGGAATAGCGGCATGTTCCAGGATTGAATCAGAAACGGGAACGGCTTCTTTAAATCTGGGACTGTCCCTGGAGAACAGGGACACCTGGAGAGTCTGTGTGTCATCCTCTGGACTGGATGATGGGAAAAGGGCAGAGCAGGTGAGGGGGCTGGCCGAGGGCCGACTAAGGTGGGTGAGGCGGTGTGCCCCACTTGCTCAAACGAAACCAGCCACCACTGTCACTGAGCCACGTGTATCTGTTTCTGTCAAAGGCTGGCTCCCGTAGTGCTCTGCCATGGCGACGAAGCCCAGCTTGGTTGGCGGAAGTCAGAGCCCCCCCCCACTCCCCACTCCCACTCCCCCCAATGCATCCTGAGCCTTCCTGACATATGGCTGTAGCTGCCCCTCTTCACTCATTTAGATTTCTTCTTCTCAAGTTGCTGTTGCATTAACATTTGCCTTTAGGCACCTCGGAGTTCAGATCGGCGGGCACCATAAGGCCTCCTTTTATTTATTTATTTTGCCACCTCAAACCGCCCCCCCCCCCAATTGCACTACATGCACACACTGCAAGAGACATCTTGCCAAAGAAAGAAAGGGAGGGGGGAATGGAGGAGAAGAGAGTAAGACACTTGCAGTGCTCATCCTAAGCATGTCAGGGACGACCCTCATGGTCCCTTCCGACCTCTGCAATTCTGTGGTTCTGTGTCTACTCAGAAGCAAGGCCCACTGAGATCCATGAGACTTCTTCCTAGGTACAATGTGCTTGTAGGATCGCAGCCTTGGGTGTGACCATGAAAACTGTGTCCAGAAGCAGCTGAATCTGGGTTTAGATCGGAGGGGCTGAAAATCATCACCATCATCACCCCCTCCAGATTGCGGGAGAGGATTCTCTCACCTCGTTTGCGTGGATGCCAGATGAATGGGTTGCACACAATGGTAATGGCAGCTCCGGTCCCTTTGGATGCTGAGCAGCTGTGCCTTTTAGAAACTATTCTGCTCTACCCACTGGCTGCTGCTGCTGCTTTCATCTTGTTTTGCACGCCTTGCTTTTGTCGAGCAATGGAAAGTTTTGGGGTTGAGGGGGAAAGGTGTTTTCTTACCTGGTCAGTTACCTTGGAGAAGAAAATACCAGGGATTAAATGGCACTTTTCATGCCATCTGTTTATTTACAAATATGCAGGCTGCACATAAGGAAGCAGGGAAGCGTGCAGGCAGACATGGCTAATCTTCAGGTACCATTCGTTTCCCCCTAAAAGCAAACACCATGCCCTCAGAGTAATGGCTCCTTCCTGCCCAGCCAGCTGCAGCGTGAATGCATATATATATATATATATATATACATATACACACACACACACACACACACACACCACACACACCACACACACATACACACAGAGAGGGGGGACTTCTGTCTTTTTTGCTGGCTTCATTCCAACTGCCCAGGTGGTTCTCCTCTCAGCGAAACCACATCACCTGGAGAGATCGGCGCAATAACTAGTAGCCACCAACCACCAGTGCTCATTAGGGAAATGCAAAAACCTTAGGAGGGGATATTTTTGCATAGCGAATTTGTTTTGCTTCACCTTTTACAAAGAGATTTCAGAGCAACCATTCCAGGATCAGCATTTCTTTGGGAGAGAGAAGACGCAATGATCATTTCTCCACAATCCATTTACTGTGCAAAGCATTGAATTTTTTTCTACAGGCCTTCTGACGATGCTCCTGCTTCTGTTGCAAACATAGCCCAATTTCGCACAAACCAAAGTAATTTGTGGCTGGGGGGTGGGGAGGTTATTTACCCACCCCAAGAGACAGGATATTTATTGCTGTTGTGATTGTCATGTGGACCTGTGGTTCTGGGTCATGGGCAGCTATTATATATTGTAGTTGTAAT